TGTTTAACAAGCTAGTCACGTAGACCAGTTAGATAGTCTAGTGAGTTTTATTCTAACACTAAGTATTATTAATAATTCAAAGTCCGAGCTTGCCCATTGTCAATTTCAGATCATTTGCTTCGTCCTTGTCAGTGTAACCGCGTTTCATCGCCCTACTCTACAGCAATCATTACGTGACAATTACATTTAATGCAATTATATAGACACCATTATCTACACTGACTTATTGCCTCTTATCCGGTAACTCTTGGACTTACACATTTTTACTTATGAGTTTGATTTTATATATATATATATATATATATATATATATATATATATATACATGTATATAATTGGTATATATGGAATGAATTCCAATAACCAACAATTACTATTCTTAAAAGAGTGCTCAATACAAAGTAGAGCAGATATAATTATTATTTATAAAAAAATTATAACATAAGTATGTTATAAAATCACTACAAAAATAACCATTTTGTTTCAACACACTGATATATATATATATATATATATATATATATATATATATATATATATATATATATATATATATATATATATTTATATAAATTGTCATCTATAGACAGACTGTTTCGCTGTTTCACAACTCATCACTGCGGCTAGACATCCGATTGCCTCAAGCCAAACGAAACCCGAGTTTGTATCATTCGGAGAATCTAACCCTAAGCCACTAGTGCACGAGAGGGTTGAAGGTGAATTTAAGCACATTTATATTTAGATAAACACGCCAGTGACTGGGAGAACTCGATTCATATTTAACGAAGATTATTGCATTAGCAGCAGTAATAGTCACTGTTTACAAATTCACCTTAACTCCCCAAAAGCTCAACCGAAATAATATATATATATATATATATATATATATATATATATATAGAGAGAGAGAGAGAGAAATAGATAGATGTATTGCCGAGATGAGGTACGGTAAATATTTACATTGTTCGGAGTGTTCACATGATCTTTATTGTTGCATTCACAACACACACACACACACACACACACACACACACACACACACACACACACACACATATATATATATATATATATATATATATATATATATATATATATATATATACACGCACACATACATATATACATATATATGCATATATATGTGTATGCATGCGTGTCTGTGTGATGTTTGCCTACTCAATATTTATATATATATATATATACACACAAACATATATATATATATATATGCACACATACACACTCACACAGACACACAAACATATGTGTCTCTGTGTGTGTACTTAACAACGTGTATCCATTCAAAAATTTGATTAAAATGAACGATATGGCCAGGTTGTTTAATTTTCTATTGTTTCTTGACATTTTCAAATAAGGTGTTTAATATTGCCCTCGAAGTCGCGCATAGATTGCCCCAAGTTCATATATATATATATATATATATATATATATATATATATATATATATATATATATATATATACGTGTATATCTGTATGTAGGCTGCGATTATTCCTCCATTGAATTTTGTATTACAATGTGAATTGGAAAGCTCCAGTAGAAATATACAAGCAATACTCTTTCCTTTGGTCAAATCTCACCTTTCTAAAAATAAATCCATTGAGAGAGAGTGAGAAATTTCCAGGAACATTTGATGTCTCTAGTGAAAATGACTAGACTAGAGAAAACTCAGGACCATTTTACTGCCAACTTGTTTGATTCAATCATACAGAAAGAACTTTCATCAGTATCTGCAGATATTATTTCACTTTTTGTTGAATGTTCGCTGTCTATAAGACACTGCTTCTACTCAAGGTATGATATTGCTTAGTATTTGGTCTCGGTTATATCAACATTATCCTCTTGAAATGGGGGGTCAATATCCGGAATAAAGTGTGCGTCATTAAGACATATCATATATTAGGGTGTTTCATCAAGACGGATTATATATAAGCGTGTTTCATTAAGACGTATTATACATAAGATTCTTTCATTAAGACGGATTAAATATATTATTTCATTACGACGGATTATATATAAGGTTGTTTCATTAAGATGGATTATATATAAGGGTATTTCATTAAGACGGATTATATATAAGTGTTTCATTAAGACAGATTATATATAAAGGTGTTTCTTTAAGACGGATCAAAGAAAGTAGTAAATAAATCAGTGCTTTTGGTTATAATTTATTTGTTTTTCTATTGGATCATGTTATTTAATTCACGGCAGTTATTTGTTAAAAATAATATCACAGAAATATTCGACAAATTTGAAAGAAAAAGGAAAAATCATTAGACGCTTAAATTAATTCAAATTTAAAATCGGTCCTACTTATTGGAACACCCTTTATAATTGGACTACAATATTTCTAATTTTTCTTTTATTTGGATGCACTCACTCTCTTTGTAAGAAACTGTGTTAGAGGACGTTTTTTGGAATGTTTTCTAGACGGAACTTAACGGCAAGGGCTTAGTTTTCCCTTGACTGGATTAGCGGCCAGGTGTCCGTGTCCAAGGCGTGCCGTCAAGATGAAGGAGATTGTCAGTTAACTATTCCGGAAAGTGATCTAATTCGCCTGTACCTGGCGGGCTTAAACAAGTGGATGACAGAAGCTGGTGTGGGGGAGGTGACAGAAGGACGAAACTTATTGATAACTACAAAGGATAGGGGGAAGAGCTGAAAGGACACGGCAAAGAAAAAGAAGAACTTTGCCCACGCTAATCATGTCCTATCAAGCTGCTCAGATAACCCGATCCACAGCGGCTCTATGACCAAACCCACTTATGTAACTGATGATTATGATGATGAAGCTGATGATTAACTGGCATGCACAATTACATAAGAATGTGAAGCGCGTCTTTGTTTATCGTTGTTTTTTGTTTTTTTGTGGAAAGACATTCAAGGTTTAGAAAATGATTTTTGACATGCCGTCATTTTTATTTCAGTAAACTTGCTGAAACTAAATATGGCGGTTGTACAAGATGGTGATAAGAACTGGCTTGCTACAAACTCAACTGGTACATTAAGATTTATGTTGACTTACCATTTTTTTTCTTTTCACTGTTTATAACTTGCATTATATTTTTTTTATCTTTCAGTAAATTAAAATATTTTAGATTAACTTATTTTTCCTATGGAGGCGTTCTCTGTCCTTGACTTTTGTATTTTTAAACTTGTTTGTCTTTTCAACGTAGTTTGCGGATTAGAATTTCTCACCCAAATGCAATGCGTTTTTTCTTTATTCCTTTTTATTCAATACTAAATATTTCCTTAACATTTTCATTCCTTTTTTTTTCTTCTATATTGATTTGTAGTTTTCTTTTTAGTTATGTTTATATTATATTCACGCGTGTTAATGTTTTTTTTTCTGTTTCCTGCCAGAAGTCACTTTTTTGTAAATATCCTTTATCTATCTCTATATGTTTACCTCTTCTCTTTTTGTAAACTATTTCTTTTTGTTATTCAATTGTGTTTTTGGCTTCCACCTTTCTTTCTATTTTTTTAAATATTTTTTCTGCTATTTTACATTATCCTTTCTTTCTTTTTCCGTTCTTTTTTTTTTACCTTTCTTTTGACTTTATTTAGATTTATTTTCCATCTTTCTTTTTTTTCTATAATTATACAATGGACTCATTTTTCTCTTCCTTATTTATGTCTCTCTTCTCATTTATTCTTAACGTTGTAGCATACCGACGGACGATAATGGTTATGTGCCAATTTACATAAATACGGTAGTAAATACTGTATGTTGGTCTGCAGTTGGAGATTCATTTCCATCTGTAATGGTCTAACTCTCTGCATAGAAGATCCCCTAATGAGGCTATGTCGAAGGGCAGAGTTTCGTCTCGGGAAACAGCTACCCGACACAGTTTTATACAGGGTCTACGGGAAATTTTTGGCCGATCCTATGGGCTCGGATACACCACATTAAATTCGGCCTTGTGCATCATCTAACCGCGTGGGTCGGATGGTAGATATCCTACCTTCCTTTCTTTTTCTTCCTTCTTTCTTTTCTTTTTTCTTTCTTTTTTCATTCTTTCTTTCATTCTTTCTTTCTTTCTTTCTTTCTTTCTTTCTTATTTCATACTTTTCTGTTTATTTCCTTCTCATCCTATTTATTTTTGTAAATTAGGGGCAAAGAATTTCCCCAGTACCCAGTTTTTGAAAGAATACAAAAGAACATTTTCATCCACTACTAAAATCATTTTTTTTAAATTATTTATTTATTTGTTTTTTATATTTATTTCCTTACTTCCTTTTTATTCCTTCATCTTCGTTTTTGTTTTCGTCTTCTTTTTTCTTTTAAATATTCATTTCCATTAGGTTCTTCTTATCAACATTATTTTCAACTTTCCAAAACAGTTTCGATAATTCTTAATCTTCCACTTCCTTATTCAGCTGAGATTCTGAGTATATCGAAACATCCCCTTTTCTTGTCCCAACTCACCGACCCCATTTGCTGTCACGCCGTAGAAATGGTTTTGATCAATTGCGCAGATGATGTCAAATGACAGCTCTACTTTAATACAAGTCAACACACGAGGATGCTTGACCAAAAGCTGCGGCCAGACATTTTCACTCAACGGCTTTCAGACACAACCATTTATAGTTCAGCACGAGTGACAAGTCGAAAAATTGTTGATTCAATTCAGTTTCTGAATCGTCTAAGGGAAAACATTATGCTTCTGTTGTACAAAACTTAAATACTGTCAGCGTTTTACTTTGTTGAGGAGGAAATCTTGTTTGAGAATCGCCTCAGTGATATTTCATTCAGTATTTAATAGATATGGCCGCCTTCCATAAGTTTACAAGAGATTTATGACAGGAGCAAGCGAGACACACAAAAAATAAAGCGATGGGCAATCACATTTGTAAATATATTTTAGCAGATAAATTGATAGACACACAGACAGATAATGCATAGGAATTAATACACACACACACACACACACATACACACATATATATATATATATATATATATATATATATACAAATAGAGAGAGTGAAAGATAGATAGATAGATAGATAGATAGATAGAGAGAGTGATAGATAGATAGATAGATAGATAGATAGATAGATAGATAGATAGATAGATAGATAGATAGATAGTGAGTAAACAAGGATAGATAGATAGATAGATAGATAGATAGATAGATAGATAGATAGATAGATAGATAGATAGATAGATAGAAAGGCAATAATAGACAGATAGAAAGATGATAATAGCCAGATAGAAAGAAAGGTAATAATAGATACTTGGATACATAGGTATGAACGCACATAGATATGAACAGATGTAGATAGATAGGTAGAATGAGTGAGATACGAACTTGATATGAACAGACGGAGATAGATGGATAGATACGAAAAGACGTAGATCAATAGATAAGGAACATAACAATATGAATTAGATAGATAGATAGATAGATAGATAGATAGTGAGAAAACAAGGATAGATAGATAGATAGATAGATAGATAGTGAGTAAACAAGGATAGATAGATAGATAGATAGATAGATAGATAGATAGATAGATAGATAGATAGAAAGGCAATAATACACAGATAGAAAGATGATAATAGCCAGATAGAAAGAAAGGTAATAATAGATACGTGGATACATAGGTATGAACGCATATAGATATGAACAGATGTAGATAGATAGGTAGAATGAGTGAGATACGAACTTGATATGAACAGACGGAGATAGATGGATAGATACGAAAAGACGTAGACCAATAGATAAGGAACATAACAATATGAATAAGATAGATAGATAGATAGATAGATAGATAGATAGATAGATAGATAGTGAGTAAACAAGGATAGATAGATAGATAGATAGATAGATAGTGAGTAAACTAGGATAGATAGATAGATAGATAGATAGATAGATAGATAGATAGATAGATAGTGAGTAACAAGGATAGATAGATAGATAGATAGATAGCTAGATAGATAGATAGATAGTGAGTAAACAAGGATAGATAGATAGATAGATAGATAGATAGATAGATAGATAGATAGATAGATAGATAGATCAGGATAACTAAAGAATTCAGACTACCCAGATTTCTAGAAAACAAGATTTGTACAGATCGAGACAGAGATGGAAATCAAAATTCTGCGGTTCATTTAATTTTCCCTTCACATTCCTTTTCTACACTCTACTTTTCTCTCTTGATGTTTACATTCCAACAGTTTTCCAGCGAGACTCAATATAACAGAATACGTATCCCAGTTATTCTCCGACCATAAAGATTCCTTAAGTATTTTGAGATTTTCGACACCTAGCAACAACAACGACATGATTCCAAAAGAAGCAGTAACGTTTAATTTGCGTTTATGAGTACGTAGTCACATTTTCCTGTATTTATATTGATTCTTGGCTCGCCTTGGCTATATTTAGCGGATGTCATTGTCTTTTTATGTGTATCTATTAGATTAGGTTAAGGAAGTTTATTGGTCTACGTCACGGTTATGCTTTTTGCTGTTGCAGGACATGTACTCCTTGAGCAGAGAGAGAAAAGAAATCCCATGTCCAGCGTAGACAACTTCGTACTTGACAACGTTTCTTTCTCAAACCATTCTTTTTAGTTTTAACTGACTGTTAACATTTCCATTTATACCACTAGTATTTCAATAATGAAATCTCCTTTTCTGTTCTTTTTTAAGGGATATCGGCGTTTTTCTAGCCCAATTTCTTGTGATTTCTGTTGTATCTACATGTTTATAACTTAATTCTAATTTTAAGCACAGAAGCGGGCAGATCATTCCGTTGGCGTGATGGAGAAAATGGCGTAAGATGGCATAGATATGTTGATATGCTATTTTTGAAATTAACAATCTAGACAATGACATTGTTAAGACAAAAAGATATTTTTTGAATTTACGATAGATTTGTTTTATTGTATGATGCTTTTTGATTGAGATTTTGTATTAGCCAAGTTTTTTTTTTTTAACTCTCATTTCGCAAACATTTACTAATAAATGTATCGAAGCGAATCGCGGAGAAAGCACGGTGGAGTAATGGGTAGCGGCCCAGATTGAGGAATCGGAGAGCAGAGTTCGAATTCCAGTCGAATCCATTACATTCATTTATATGCTAATACGCTTGGAAATCCTCTTCTCCACACTTATTTTCTGCAACTAGTATTCAATAGAAACATAATCGAACAGCTTTAAATGAAGGATAATAGAGGTATAATTTATTTATAATAGGTAATATAGTTCGAAATATTTAATAATCTATGGGTCCTCCTTCATTTTGAATAACATTTTCAACCCTTTTTAGCATTGACATGATTAGGTTCCGGCAAATCTCATCTCAAAGCACTGAATTCCATTCGGATAGGAAATTCACAATCACATCCTTTTGTTGCTCAACAGCTTTCTCGAGTGCCTGTACTTTATAATGCTCCATAAGTTTTCTATGGGGTTGAGGTCAGGAGATTGGGGCGGCCATGTTATAACACTCACCTGCTTCTCATCAAAGTATTCCTTCATCAATTTTGATTTGAGACAGGGAGCATTATCTTGCATGAAAATGAGCTTGGTGGAGTCGATTTGCACCCTTTCAGCAGAAGGGAGCAGACAAGACTGTAAAATTATCTTGTACTGCTCGCTCCTGAGGATCTTTTCAATAGGTTTTAAGAAACCAGTTCCATGAAAAGAAAAGAATCCCCAGAACATTATACTGAACGGATGCTTGACAGTACTTTCTCATAAATCCAAAAAAGCTTTCAAAGCTTCTTCTTCATATTTTAGATCGCTTATTCTTTGAATTTAGCTCAACTTTCGTTTCATCGGAGAAGAGAACATTCTTCCAGTCTTCTACGGTGAAATTTTTGTAATAGTGAGCACATTCAAGTCTCTTGGCTTTGGTGGCTTTGCTTATTAGCGGCTTAAACCTTCGTGTACAAGATTTGTAGCCTTGTTCTAACAGCCACCGACATACCGTTGAAGAGGCAAGACTAACACATTGCTCTTCGCTTAGACTGGCTGCAATTTCTTGGCTAGTTATAGTCCTATTCTTCGCAAATTCTCTCTTGATTACCCTGCCAGTTCTATCATCAATCTTTTTCTTTCGTCCCCTTGTTTCCTTCCTTGGAGCGGGAGTTGCATCCTTATGTGACCTAAGCACTCGAGAGACAGTTGATTGCGAGTTTATAGCAATTTCTACAATTTCTCTCGTAGATTTCCCTGCTTTTGAGAGGGCAGTAATAGATGCCTTAAGTGGTTCTGAGTGGCTATTTCAAGCTGCAAAGACTTTCTGGAATATTCTGGAATACTCTAGATTTAATTTAAGCTGGTCTAGAATTCTCTAGAATATACGGTTTTATAATTATCGATAATATATCAATTAATAATATTATTAGTATGAATAAACTTTTTTCCTAGGTGGTCGGGAAGGGGTATTTATATTGGTAAGATTAAAAATTATTTTAACCCCAAAAACAATAGACAAAAAAAATATTTTTACTAAAAAAATCAGGGGAGTCACTTTTATCGAACAGCACTGTATATAATCGACTTTCCCGTCGAATTCGATGTATGAGAGTCAAGGAGGTCAGTTTCTAGAGACCGACAGCCCGACACCAGCACATGAGATTTATCATAGTGGTGAAGGTTTTGTGCAGAACCATCGACACTTTTTAAAGGGCTGAATACAGAGACCTGGTGCACTACGTGCCACAAGGTCCCCAAATGACCCTCTACAGGTTTTGAATTCAGAGTTGTCCTTCTGCTAGACCAGCTGCCATCCAAATCTATAGAATCCAGTATGCCCTGATATTTACCCACATCTTGATGAAGAAGAGGGGGCTATATATATATATATATATATATATATATATATATATATATATATATATATCGCAAAGTAAGATATATTCACTACTTGGAATCTTTGAAACAAAATTTTTAATTTTCATAAATTGGATGTATACCTGAAAGAAAACATTTCTTTTTATTGAGATAGCTAAACATTAGAATTTTAGCTATTTTAAAACAAATGAAACATGGTGAAGCTGAATAACATTTAACAAGTGTCGACAGAAATAATATACATGTATTTACATGAATGAAATACATAAATAGTGAAAAAACTGAAATCAACATTAATGTTTTTCTCAAATAATTTTTACTGTAATGTAACAGGATAAACTCCATTTGTTTTGGGAGCAAGTAAAAATAAATTCCTTCTATTTCCAACCCTTGAACAGGCAACATATGATTGACCATGACGAAAGCAGGGTAGCATAAGGTGAAGTCCAGTAACTTTCATTGATTGATCTTGTGATTTATTAATAGTCATTACAAAACGTACACTGACTGGGAATTGCAATCGTTTAGAATCAAAAGACATACATGTTGGAATCAATGAAATTCTTGCAATCAGTACAGTCTCTTCTTTACCCTGACCAGTTCTAATAAGAGCTTTCAATAAGTGAGGTAACATATTCTTCATAATAATACGTGTACCATTATATAAATTTGGAGGATCAAGATTTCTTAGCAGTATTAATAGTACTACTAATTTTAATACCAATTTGTGTGATGGCATTCCTAGGATATCCAAAGAATTCCAAACATTCAATAGGGAAGTTGGCTGCTTCGTCTGGATGCATAGTTGTATCATTGGATAACTATTTCCTTTCTTCTGTTGGAATATCTTTCAAAATCTTCTGTTTCATTTCTGGGAGCCAAAATTGCCCTCTCAGACAACCAATCTGTATTCAGGAAGTTGTGTTATATTGGGGTATACTTTAAAAATGAATCCTTCAATGATCTCGATCAGAATGCCGAAACCTTCATGAAAGTTGATTTGTCTATCTCGATCATGTGAAATGTCTCCATTTCCAATTTTTAAAAGGAGGTCACTAAGTTCTTTTGCTGTCACATCTCCATTGAGTTCCACTCTCTATTAGTAACAAAAAGCGTCTTTCAATATGATCCCACAGACACGTATATGACTCTCTGGTCATTTGCAAGAAGAGGTGTATTAGTCTGTATTTGATGGATAAGCTCTTCATGGTTGTATCCAGACCCTGTAAGGGTTTCTCTATTAAAGGCATCAGAATCTCTGTTTGGTTTGAAAAGTCCGAAATGGGGAAGTTCTTTTTGTGTCACATTGAGCACTTTATCTTCTATTTCACAGAGTGCAATGTTCACAATCCTCGGTTTCATTTGTATGGCTAGAAGAAGAATGTCTTGTCGTTTCACCCACAGATCCATTGCATTTAAAATTTGACAGGTAGAAATCATAACAGCCAAGAGATCCCTTATTTCCTTTAGTGATTGATACGAAAGAGCCTGTCGTAATGTTAGGTCCCTATGCTCATTCCTTTCTGTAAGGTTAAATTGAATGCATGTCTATCTATGTTTCAAGTATACGTCCATCGGTAGTTATCAGATTTTGAAATGATCTTGGACCCCTGACATTATGAAGATGTCGAAGAAAGAAGCATTCAGAAATTTTTGGATGTACTGTATAAACCCGACCAAGTACATCACTACATTTAATAGCTGATTCAGTTGGACGAGGTTCTCCTTGCTTCTCTTCTGTTGAATTTTTCAGGTTTGAATGTGTAATATTTAAACACTTCAGGATTGAGAGTAGTTTTGGCAAAAGTTAATGCCATTAGGGTAGTGAGTGTTGGAATTTCAATCAATTCCTGAGCAATGTCTTCAGCTACATACATCCACTTTCCCTTTTCAAGATGAACTCTCAAGTGCTAATCTGATGGGTGTATTTTGTGAATGATAAATGAAGAAATTCTCCAGGCGGCTTCATTGTTAGATATGTATTTTCATGACTGAAGTTTTTCTACTTTATTGTGGTTGTCATTGGCAATCACATCTTGGGCACTCTCCTTATTTATGTACTTGCACACATACTTTATGAACTTAACTCTGTTAAAAAATTCCACATTAATGTGAGCATTGAATGCTTTGCGCAGAAGTGAACTATAGGCTACAACCTATTTGTTTTCTACAAGTAAATTTTGTCCAGATTCTGTCTGTCAGCACATATGCTAGGTCACAAAAATCTCCTGAGCCGACCAAGCATAGAAATAAATACAAGATGGGAACCAGTAATAAGGAGTGCCAGAGAAAAGCAATGATACCAACATAGTTGCAATATGAGCTCTGGTAAAAACATATATGATAACAGCAAAATTGCAATATGAACACTGGTAAAAATGGTTGCTAAAGACATTAGGTTTATAATACCCAGAAATTCATACCCAGATGTCCTCAAGGACACATGGCCCAATAGATAAAGGCGTTGGTTAGATCCAATGACAGGACCCAAAGAGTGTGAGTTCAATACCTGGTTAAGGCAGTAGAGAACTTGGAGAGGGGACTTAACAGGAGATAACTGATAACTGACATCCATTAAACATGGCACGTAGGACTAGAACAGTCTAACCCAGTAAGCGAAATAAAGGTTTCAGTTCGACATTCCAACCACCTAAAGTAGGCCAAAACGTTGTGATAAATATGGCGACATATAGTCTGAATAATGTAAATTTTG